CACACACATAATCTTTAAATGTGAACAGCTTGATGGTGCCAAGGATATTATTTTTTCCCGGACACTTTTCAAGGCTCATGAGGAGCGGCAGGCCAACAACAGTGTCCATCTGGCTACTGTTTGTAGGAAAAACAACATCCAAGAATCATAAAAGGAAACAAACTAAAAAAATTAAAAGTCAACCTCAACCTCATTTGAGGTTATTTTCTTTTTGGTGGCAGCAAAAGGATTAAATAATGATAGATACAGTGGAAAGAATGCGGGGTGGTTAGTGAAGCGCAGAGCCTATATCAAACGACCTCCCTGTTCCCTACATGGTGTGAAAGTAGTGCACAACGTAAGAGACGGGGCGTCAATTCAGGATGCAGCCCGACTGGCTTCACTGAGCCTTGGAGGCAGTGGTAATGGTCGAGGCTTGCACAGGCACAGCGGCCGCGGTGGCTTGATGATGAGCATCGGCGGTGACCTGCAGCCCCCCCGGCCCGGCCGACACCAGGTTGAGGGGGGAGCCGGTGAGCAGCGACAGGTTCTGGGGGGTCAGGAAGATCGGCGTGGTGCCCGCAGAAGTGTTGGCGAACAGCAGGTTGCTGCCGTCCAGAGAAGTGAGGCCACTCGAAGCCAGAGCTGTGGAGGAGAGAGGGGAGGGGAGGGGGGGTGAGAGTGAGGATCAGTTTCAATGAAGACGTAAAGAAAATTGTGTTTAAAATGTATTATAATAGACGTTCTTTTTTTTTTGTTTCATCAGCTAACTTTATTATCTATCAGCAGGATCCTCACAGAAGTGATTTTGTCTCAGCACCATTAACCTCGTGGGCGTGGCCTGCAAATGGTTATGGCCTCACTTTTCCTCTAATTAAACAAATTATGCAAACAATGTGTTATCTACATAATCCCATGATGGATTTTCTCTCTTTTTTATCATTTTCTTTGTACATTTCATAGATATGTTATTTTTGTAAACTGAATTTCGTTCTATTCATGGATTCATTTATTCATCTGTTTCCTAATTTGTCAGGTTTGGTAAAATACCTTTGAACTTGTTACAGTTTGTGCGGCATGTTCCCTCCTCACTTCCTGCCATACTAGAAACGATTATACTGGTTTTAAATTAAAGTGGTTCAACCGTACGTGATGTAACCAGTCCGTCAACACCAACCTCATTACAGCATTCAGCAGTACATACAATCTGTGGGAGACCACTACCTGAACGTGGCTGAGAAGTCTATCTGTATTCTTTGAGTTCAATAAATAACCATTGTGAAATGCTCTACGGAGTAAACAATTCGCTTCTAGATCAGTTTCTAGGCCCGCACTCTCTCGTCTTTTCTGTTTCTGCAGAGACAAACCACCCAAACCCCAGTCAGCCAATCTGCAACAGAACTGTCAATACACAGAAAGGTTGGGAACCCCGTCTCCATATATATAATGCCGTAAAACTGGGACTGTATCGAGTGTGTATATAGTAAGGAAATGTTTTGAAGAATTTAAAATGCATACATTGATACACACCTTGGATGGTAGCCAAGGTGCTGTTGCTCATGAGGGCAGGACTCAGCCCGCCGCCAAGGCCGCCAGTCAGACTGAGCAGGGCCCCCCTGGACACACAGACAAGACCATTTTAAATCAATAGAGAAGACACCCGAACACTTGAGTCAACACCACAGTAGTAGTAATCAGAGGCCTTATTTGGACATAGCCTATACTAACCCCGGAGTGAACTGGGAGGACGCCATCAGTCCTGAGTTGAGCCCAGCAGCGGCAGCCATTGCAGCAAAGCTGCTGGGTAACTGTGCGCCCTGCAGCGCCGCAGACAGACCCGACGCCGACACCATCAGCTGACCCGTCCCTAAAGCGGTGGCTATGGACGTCGGGACCTGGTTGATGATGGTGTGCATCTTACTCTCCGAGTTACTGGACTGAATGGTCGTCGGCGAGGGACTTAAAGACGGAGAGCCGGCTGTAGTAATGATAGGTGCAGTGGAGATTACGGATGCAGTGTTTGTGCCTTTGAGGCAGCGCAGGGGAGAAAAAAAGAAAAAACACAAGTTAACATTCAATTCTATCATTTTGTGTGATCAGACTCACGCTTTCATGTCGAGCACATCTGTACACACACCTGTGAAAGACAGATTGGAGACGCTGGTGCTGGTGAGAGGCATCACTGGGTTTACAGTCAGAGTGGTGGGTGTGTTAATATTTGGACTGCTCACAAGGCTTGCTGTGCTGGACACCTGCGCAACACAACGAGAGGACTGAATGAGCTACTGTGTTAAGAGTGACACAAACATAATGACTCTTTTGGCATTGTAGCAAATTCCCTAACCCTAACCCTGGCATTGTTGCAAATTCTAGAGAACAATTAACAAAAATCCACATGTCAAACCTGCAAATGAAAGTGTAACAGATCTTCAAATTGATCCTGAAACAGAACAGACCAACAATCTAGAAAACGGTCCTTGAAGAAACACTTGAGTGGGAATGTGTCCCTCCTTACCAGAGGGCTACTGGGGGTAAAGATTTTGATGGGGGTGCTGCCTACTCCGCTTAAGCAGCTGCTGGGGGGGTTAATCCTCTTCTCTTTCTGCCGGCGATTGCAGAACCAGACCCGAATCACCTCCTTCTCCATGTTGAGCTGGTCAGCGATCATGGTGATCTCTTCAGAGGTAGGTTTTTGGTTCTGCTTGAAGAGGGCAAAAAAGCCAGAGATGCCCTGTGAGCACTGAGGAGCCTATAGTCTGTACATATTCTACTCACTGAACACTTCATGGTGAGCTTAAACTAGATTTTCCTGCTTAGATCAATATTGTTTTGTTCAGGAAAATGAGTTTCGAACCTCCAGAAAGCTCTTTTCTAAGGCCACTCGGATGTTGGTCTCAATACTGGTCCTCTTCTTCCGTCTGCGGTTGATCCCCTCTATGCCCATGCCCGGTGAGCCCAGGGCACTGGGGCTGGACAGGGACTGGTCGGTCAGGGTCTCTGCACAAACAGCACCGACACAAAGGAAGGGAGGAGAGGTAAAGACAAGGCACTGGAAAGACACATCTCTCTGAGGAGAGTAAAGAATCCCCACGCAAGCAATCAAAGCGTTCTGGCCTTTGTTCAGGTGGGTGCAGGGACAAACCTGCATCGTTGAGCCACTTCTCCAGCAATGGCTTGAGTTTGCACATGTTCTTAAAGCTCAGATTCAAGGCCTCAAAGCGAGAGATGGTAGTTTGGCTGAAGTCGTTTCCATACAGCTTCCCCATGGCCAGGCCAACATCCCCCTGGTGAGAAGGAGGGAAACAGAGCGAGACAGAGAAAAAGAAAGCTTTTAGCCGAGACCCACCTATAGTACAAGTTCATTATTGCTCTATACACTCAATCTATTCAGTGTTACACACACGCACCTGTGTGAAGCCCAGTTTGATGCGCCTCTGTTTGAAGGTCTTGGCAAACTGTTCCAGTTCTTCCAGATCGCTGGGCTCCTCCATAGTGGGCGTGTCCAACCGTTTGGGTGTTGTCTGACTGTGAGACAGGGACTGGATAGGTGTGGATGCTGTTGTGCGGGTTGGAGTGGCAGGCTGCAGCAAAACATAGGGTGGACTTGTTATTGAGGTTAAGAAGAAGTCGAAAAATGCAAGTGGTAAAAAGAAAATGCACCAAGCAAATATATAAACGGTGGCTTTGTAATGCGATTGTATTACAAACCTGAGTTGCAAGGGTGAGGCTTTGTTGAGTCGGCAGGAGGTTAGCTTGGCTTTGAGGTAGATTTAGAAGACTCTGGGCTTGCAATATGCCTACAGAGTGAAAGGCTGCTTTGATAACAATGAATTATATATGACATATGTCCCTTATCTTAATTCTGCATGCAAATAAAAACACGGCAGTGTTTGACTCACCCTGTTGGGCCTGCGTCGGCTGTGAGATGATGAACTGAGTGGGCTGCTGTAGTGTGGCGATCGGGTGGCCGGGCTGCAGCAGAACAAACTGAGGCAGACTTAGATTCTGCGGCTGCAGCTGCTGCGAGAAAACAAAAAAAAAAATCATCAGCACGGTTTATTGTAACAGTAACAGACATGAGTTATGTATATATTTTATTATAATTTCCATATAATCCAAATTTCAGTGAGTGAAATGTTTCCAGAAAGACAGTCAGCAGCTGATTCAAGTAACAACAAAACATAATAGTACCAGTATGAAAGAAACATTCATGAAGTTAAATAAATTACATATAGTCCAAGTCCCGTATCGCTTTGAAAATGGCGCCATGTTTCCACGGCTTTGTCTTGTGTCTGTAATGGTGTATAATAAACAGTGTTACACAGACATGTTAGCAAAACATGCTGTCAAACGTTTCACTCACAAAAATGTATAAATAGAGCTATTTCAATTCTAATTTGCTTTTTCTCAATTTTATGATAACTTTCTGCGGCACACGTCCGAAATCTGACACAAATCTTAAACTTAAAACGGAAACATATCGGAGATCACAGAAGGACGGCCCATAGAGACGACTTCCAGTTGACTGGCATATGTGCACAGAGCTATGTCGAAAACAAAATCATTTGACTAAAACAGAACGTAACTATCGGCTTCATTCAAAACCGTTCAGGGCTGGGAGAGTGTTGTCCAGATACACATTAAGGATTTGCATGAACGCTGCAGAAACAGAAACATGGGCGATTGTGTCTTACAGAGGCGATCTGGATGGGCTGTGACAGCTGGCTGATGGGCGTGGCTGCGGAGGCCGAGATGCTGGCCCCGGTGGTGCTGTTCTGCTGGTTGGCTGAATGCTGCACGGCCGCAGCCAGGAGCTGAGCTTGGGCCTGCTGGATCAACATCTGCTGCTGCGCCGGGGTCAGGGTCAACTGAGGAGCCGAGAGAGAGAGAGAGAGAGAGAGAGAGAGAGAGAGAGAGAGAGAGAG